GATTATTGGAAGGATTATGACTACGTACCTGGAGAGGAACCACGACAAGCACATTACACCACAAACGCACTGCACCACGTACTGCACCGAAAGCAAGAGGAAGATTGCTTGATAATTCTTTTCACGATCACTGAGCTTTGCAGAAAAATATTTTACTCATACAAGGAACTACGTAGGTTATCAGTGAAATATGTTATAAATGAGTAAAATTAAAAACAATAATTCTAAAAATAAAATTTTACTGAGGGGCAAAATAGTAAAGGGGAGGTGGAGGGAGAAGGCTGTGGTGGTGGAGGGAGCAACACCCATATAGAAAATTATTAAGTCCTATGCAAACATGCCCTGTCCTATAATTAAAATGGGCCGATTTTGTTAACAAATTATAAGTCTAGGGAGGCCCATAACTTCAAAAATATATAGTTCAAGGCCCATAACTTCAAAAACACCATGTTTTGGAGATGCGGGGTATCGATCCCCGTACCTCTCGCATGCTAAGCGAGCGCTCTACCATATGAGCTACATCCCCTGTCCATGACAGAAAATTAAATGCTCAATTAACAAATCAATAATCTTAGGAGGCCCAAAATTTCAAATAAGTATAGTACGAGAGGCCCATAACTTTAAAAAGAAGTTCATAACTGAAAATTAAATGGGTCAAACATAAATTCAAATAAGTATAGTTCGAGGCCCATAAGTTTAAAAAAATATACTTTTGGAGATGCGGGGTATCGATCCCCGTACCTCTCGCATGCTAAGCGAGCGCTCTACCATCTGAGCTACATCCCCTTTATATTTAAAGATTGTAATGTTGTAATAAAATACTAATGCAATTTGAGAACTTTTTTCTTTTGGAATAATAACATCAAATGTATCTAAAATTTTAAGGATTAAAGACACGATTAAATTGTAATAAAATGTAAATAATTGTCTTATTATGAATACTATTATTAATGAAATTAAAAATATATTTAATGCATCATCATTTCTCTCTTATTCAATTCATGTATAAAAATAAATTCTACAAACATATACAACATATGTTACTTTATTATAAACATTTATTTATTGTAATTTTTTTTTCAATTTTTTTTTTTATAATTATGAACTAAAAATTATGGATAAAAAGTAGAACTATTATTGACCGAAATTATAAATAAAATATAAAAACTAAAACTATACTGTTTTGGCTAACGCATGTAATCATGATAAAAAATATATAATAACTTGTTATACTAAATATGTAATAAACTATAGCAATATTAATAATTATTTGAAATCAATTATACAGAGTCTGCCAATTGACTTTGGATAAATAGTTATCGATTATTTTAATCTTAAAGGAATTAGATTTCATTTATATAACAAAAGTCCTGCTTATTAAATGTATTCATGATTTTACGATTATGTTTTACATATCAGTGTTAATATATATTAAATGATAATTACAAGAAAAAATAGTAAGTTGGGTGGTTCTTTTACAACACTGATTATTCTTTTATAATAAGAAATAACCACTTAACTTGATTTCAATTTAAATAAAAGGGTTGCTTTCTTTGTTTTTAGTGGTTTTATATATATTGGGGTGGTTTGACAACATTTTTTTTACAACCTTTTATTATTATCTACGTGTCATTTTGTGATTGATTCATATTAGTGTTAATGATTATTAAAAACGAGGAGAAGAGGGACTTAAATTAAAGGGACTAAATAGAAAATATAAGTGATATGTTTGGAAGAAATATGTGGGTTTTCGATTTAAACAAAAGCATTGCTTGCACGCAACACAAAAGTATTTGAACGATAATTTATCTAAAAAAGCTAAAATATATATATTATTTTTTCATTTTTACACTCCAAAAGCATTAAAAATAGTCCGCTTAAGAAAATTTAATCTAAAAGATAATAGAATTCAGAAGAGGCATGATAATAAGGATTCCAAATGAAAGTATTTGTTGAATTTCTGATTCATTTATTATTTTTTTTAAGTTTTTCATATAAATATGAATGAGAAAGTTACTGATATTATTTACAATAATAAGGTAATATCAAAATTGATTTATCTGAATTTAAAAGACTATTCAATAAATTATTATTATTATTATTATTATTATTATTGTGTTCTCCATAATTCGTAATATATTAATGACTTCTGAAAAGGTCAATTGAATAGTTACTGAAATCATCATAAATCGTGATGACTTTTTAAGACGTACAACGGAAGTAGCGTAGCACTCCCATGATTTTTGTAAGTTTTTTATGCTTTGTTAATTTGTTTTAGTTAAAAGTTAAATTTTGTGCGTTGGAAGTTAAATCCAGTGTATATTTTTAATTTCGTTGAAATTATATTTAAATTACCCTATCCCGTTTCACTGTTCTACATTTTAAAAAAAGTTAGGTAGTTTTATTAATTACGAAATTTAAAAATACAATGACGAGTAATGTAGCAATTTGAAGCTTGGAATGTTTAACGGTAGTAAATTTTAAAAATTATTTAATGTTTTGCTTGAAAAAGCGGATGGAGACATATATGCAAACAAGAAAGAGTAGTTGGCGGCAATACCTACATGGCGTCCCAGAATGCACTCCTCAAAATATGTTCTCACTTTTTCATCACTGAATCACACAGAGCTCCATGACTTTCTACAGCGTACAATTCATTTCTCCTAATAAAATACATTATTTCTCACTATAATTTACGCAACATGATAAATCTATAACATATTGTTTGAAAATAACACAAAGTTCACGTTTAAAAAAAAGTTCATGGTAATCATTTACATTTCAAATATTAACCAATAAGAAGTCATTAAGATTTTTAAAAAATGATTAAATAATAAATGGGGAAAATCTAGGAAAGTGAGTGACAGTTCAACTAAAGAAACTAGTATCAATGTCAAGGAAAAAAGAACACAATTAAAAAATGCATTTAAGAGAATCCCAAATCTGACAAATAATTAATAAAGAAACAGAGCAAGGGGTAGGGGAGTGGAACTTCTTTCCAGTGGCAGCATCCATGGTTGCTGGTGGTGGAAAGTGTTTCAGATCATAGATTACACCGAAGTGGAGAACCTCAACCAACGGCTAAACCTTGTTCTTTTTATGATATTTCCCTCCACTCGGCTTGCTAAAGCCTAAGCCTAGACACATGGAAGCCATTACCAATTCAGTTTCCAAGTTACTTTCTTTGTTTTTCACGCTCTTGTTTGTTGGTTCTCAGCTGATACATTGTAATGTCACCTATGATAGAAAGTCTCTTCTCATCAATGGCCAAAGGAGAATCCTCATTTCTGGCTCCATTCACTATCCCAGAAGCACCCCTGAGGTATTTATGTCTCCCATTTTCTTTACTTTTTTTGTGTTTCAACTTTCAACCTCCGTGTTGTTTTGTTTGCTTCAAATTATGTGATTTCAGATGTGGGAGGATCTAATTAGGAAGGCCAAACATGGAGGCCTTGATGTCATAGACACTTATGTCTTCTGGGATGTCCATGAACCATCTCCTGGCAATGTACTACTCTGGATCTTCCTCTCTCCCCTTTAATCAACTTTACTTTAAAAAAAGTAACATTTTTCTGGTTCTTTGTGATTATTTTTTATGTTGGGTTGCAGTATAATTTTGAAGGAAGGTATGATCTAGTACGGTTTATTAAGACGGTGCAGAAGGTGGGACTTTATGCCAACCTTCGGATTGGACCTTACGTGTGCGCTGAGTGGAACTTTGGGTACATTTTTCTTCCATAATCCATATCTCTCTATCCCTCTGTTAATGTGAGATTTGGTTGTGATTCTTAATGTCGTTCTTTAATGGTGTACTTCAGAGGAATTCCTGTATGGTTGAAGTATGTTCCTGGTGTGAGCTTCAGAACGGATAATGAGCCTTTCAAGGTTGGATTTGCATTTCATTCACATGGATTCTCTCAGTTGACTCAGGTCTTGGATAATCTGACTTTTCCGTTTTTCAATCTTAGGCAGCAATGCAAGGTTTCACGCAGAAAATTGTCCAGATGATGAAGACTGAGAAGTTGTTTCAGTCTCAGAACGGTCCAATAATTCTCTCTCAGGTATGCGATTCACTTCATTGTGTGGTATAAGTGAAGAAATACTCAAAAAACTGACCTGCCGCTCACTTGTATTCATACCAATGATCACTATTTCAGGAGACAATCTTAAATCGTGTTCTTTTCTCTCTCGTGTTTTGTAGATTGAGAATGAGTACGGACCAGAGAGCAGGGCAATGGGAGCTGCTGGTCGTGCGTACTTAAACTGGGCTGCAAGCATGGCTGTTGGATTGGGTACAGGAGTGCCCTGGGTGATGTGCAAGCAAAATGATGCCCCAGATCCCGTGGTAAGTTCTCTCCTTCTCTTGCTTGTTTCATTTGCTTCCTTATTATTTTGTTTGAGGGTTGAATATGATCTATCCAATTATCGTTACAGATCAATTCATGTAATGGTTTTTACTGTGATGATTTCGCTCCAAATAAACCATACAAGCCTAGCATGTGGACTGAGTCTTGGAGTGGCTGGTAAGCTGTACAATGTATTACATTTGAAGTTGGTTCTGTAACTTTAGATTCGGATGGGTAATTTTTTCCTATGATCACAAGGTTTACAGATTTTGGTGGCCCAATTCACCAGCGACCAGTTCAGGATCTATCATTTGCAGTTGCTCGTTTCATTCAAAAGGGTGGCTCATATGTGAATTATTACATGGTTGGCCACCTTCTAGTTTTTCTTACTATTTTATAAAAGAATCCCTCAATTACTTGGATAAGGCTCGGTTGTTTTTTCTCTTGTGATGAAACATAGGTTGCTTTACTTTAAAATCTGAATCTCGCCTATGATCTTAATGAAAAATGATAGTATCATGGAGGAACTAACTTTGGACGATCAGCTGGAGGCCCATTCATTACTACAAGCTATGACTATGACGCTCCAATTGATGAATATGGTGAGAAAACTATGCTTATAATGAGTATCTTTTTTTATATTATTTGTTTGTTCTGTGATTCATCGCCACTTATAGATACAGTTACTACTGGGCTGTGTATCATAGCTCTTCTGTTGAAGTTTATTTTTTAATGACATCCCAGGCTACGAAATAATGTATCATCATTCTTCAGTAAAAGTATTTTTGCATATGATCTTTATACTAAATCAATTGTACTATTTCAGTATTTAAAATGCACAGTCTGGCATTGGATTATGTTCCATAAGTTGCGGTCACAAAGATAGTTTACATATTATATTTTGTTGCATCCTAACCAAATGTGCTGTGTTGTGTTTAGGTTTGATCAGGCAACCAAAATACAGTCATTTGAAGGAGCTTCATAGAGCTATCAAACGGTGTGAACATGCTTTGGTTTCTTCGGATCCCACTGTTGCGTCCTTAGGAAATCAACAGCAGGCAAGCTGCCTCTGATGTGAAGCAATTGTCCTCTTGACATTTTTTGCTTGTTTATGATAAGTTAGTCCTGTCTCTGTGCTTGGAAATTTTCCAGGCTCATGTATACTCTTCAGGTACTGGAACATGTGCAGCTTTTCTAGCAAACTATAATGCAAACTCTGCTGCTACGGTGACATTCAATAACAGGAAGTATGATTTGCCCCCTTGGTCCATCAGCATCCTTCCTGATTGCAAAACTGATGTATTTAATACTGCAAAAGTAAGAATACTTCACGAGACCTTTTAAAGCTACGAAGTGTGATGAAAACAATTTTTGCCCATCTGTATTATTTATTGTCAGCCTTTCCCTTTGCACAAAGAAATTGACTGTATTGTTGTCTCTTCATGAAGGTGAGAGTTCAAACTTCAGAGGTAAAAATGCTTCCTGTCAGTACTAAGTTGTTCTCATGGGAGAGCTATGATGAAGATATATCTTCTCTGGCTGAGAGTTCAAGGATTACATCTCCTGGACTCTTAGAACAACTCAACGTTACCAGGGACACCAGTGACTACCTATGGTACATAACCAGGTAGGTTGCTTGATTTAAAAGTTATATGTCGTTGTTTTCAAAAGGCTACCAAATGAATTGAATTTTGGTGTTGTCTGCATAATGACAAAATAAGTTATGCAATGCCTATTGGAACAGGATGCTGATTTATGATGAAGAAATTGGTTGTTTTATTTTTCAAGAAGTCCCTGAACTTAACCACTTTTGTCATTTCAGATTTAAATTCTTTGTCAGATAGATTCTGTTATCCTACCTTGTCAGCTTCAGCCTATAATCTTACTGTTTTTCTGGTTGGCATGGTGCAGCATTGACATAAGTTCATCAGAAACCTTTCTTCGAGATGGAAAAAAACCCAGCATTAATGTGCAGTCATCTGGAGACGCTGTTCATGTGTTCGTTAATGGGCAATTTTCAGGTTTTTCCGATTGTGTAGTTGAACGTGCAGTTCCTTTGTTCGCAAATTGCAACTTTGCGTATTGAATGATTCTAAGTTAAACTGTGGATGAACGGTTTCTTTTTCAGGGTCGGCTTTTGGAACAAGGGAGCAGAGAAGTTTCACATTCAATGGACCTATAGATCTCCACGCTGGAACAAATAAAATTGCTCTTCTCAGCGTGACTGTTGGATTACCTGTTAGTACTGAGTACCAAGCTTGTAAATCCAACTTGAAATGGACTATTATTTTCTAGTTAGTATTTTTAGTACATTGCTTTGCTCGGCCATTATGCTACTGGTCATTGATTGACTTTCTGTTTTTCACTGGAAGAACGTTGGTCGGCATTATGAAACATGGGAGACAGGGATCACTGGTCCAGTCTTGCTACACGGTCTTGACCAGGGACAGAAAGATTTAACATGGAATAAGTGGTCATACAAGGTCTGATGCACTCAAACTTGCTAGTCTAACATATGTATTCTTAAGCTAGTCATACAATTCATGGGACCAGAAAATGTTTTCTAATTATAATAGGTTGGCCTAAGAGGAGAGGATATGAATTTGGCGTCTCCCAATGGGGTGTCGTCTGTTGATTGGGTCCAAGAATCACAAGGTACACAAAGTCGGTCGCAATTGAAATGGTACAAGGTGAGAGAATAGTTACTGGTTTATTTATATAATAAGATCTGTGTTATTCATACAACAGTCTATCTAACAATATTTTTCATGTTTATCTGTTTCTATCACATCATTTATTTATTACATTTCACATTTCTCTTAGTTGTAAGATTTGAACTAGAAGCTTACTAATATTAAGTTGGAACCTGCAGGCTTATTTTGATGCACCTGGTGGAAAGGAACCACTGGCTTTGGACCTAGAAAGCATGGGTAAGGGTCAAGTATGGATAAACAGACAGAGCATAGGGAGATATTGGTTGGCCTATGCAAAGGGTGATTGTAATTCTTGCACCTATTCTGGAGGCTTTCGCCCTGTAAAATGCCAACTTGGTTGTGGCCAACCCACTCAACGATGGTACTTCTTTTCTTCTGTAAAGGATATCATATAAACTGATAGCTTGCTTTATTATTGAGTCTTTAGCATTTTGTTACTGTTTGGAGCCGTTGAACTAGTGCAGTCTGACATGTCAGTGTCACGTGAAAAAAATAGTGCGCAACCTTTTATCATTTTGTGTGTTTACCTTTGGTCGTGTCGGTATCATTACCCTCCAGATATAGTAATGATAATGCCACAACCTTTTTTTGTAGTGTGCCAGATCCAATGCTACTGAATGAAGAGATTTTACCAGTTTTGTGTTTGAAATTTGGCAGGTATCACGTTCCAAGGTCCTGGCTAAAGCCAACGAAGAACTTGATCGTAGTGTTTGAAGAATTAGGCGGAAATCCTTGGAAAATATCTTTGGTTAAGAGAATGGTACATACTTCGGCAGGTCATGAATAAGAACGTGTGTGCACTGTGAATTCTATGGCTTTCGTTGTGATTGGTTGAAACAATAAGTCATCGACTTGGCAATAAATCAGCTTGAGCTGGTTCAACCCTTCTTGATCAACGTGATTGGTGCAAAAGATGTACCCAGATTATCTGTAATCTATAGTAATTTATTCTTTTCAACTACGACCTATGTACTTGTGAATGAAGTGATTGTATTTAGGAAGAACTTCTCATATGGAATGCCATCATGTCATAGGATCACGCATCCCACTTGGACAATTACAAAAGAATTAAATAAGAGAAAACAAAGCTTGAATAACACACATCCAAGCATTGATTTAAGAGGTTTTGATTTCTGATATGCTTACCCCAATGGTATGGTATAACTTTCATGGCCATCAATTGTCCTTAAGGACTACACCATGCGTATACATCAAAGGCACATGCTATTAAAGAATCAATTCATGGGTCCTTGTAGATATCAATTATTAAATATTTATCATTAAGTTTAAATATATGTCTAATGTTTAAAGTTGAGCCAGAGTACTTTTTTTTTTTTTTAATTTACAAGGTGGAATTGTACTCGTATTACACACGTGCTACTATACTCCTGTGTGTATCTTCACTCCTTTACCGACAATATGTTTTCAGTATGTCAGTCTTAGGATGCATGAAATACTTGATCATGCAAGTCTTCAGCCGAAGAGCCTGCTAAATCGCCGGGACGCTCAAGTCAAAAATACGTACTATGCAATAAATGCAATTTATTTTCAGTGACACTGTTGTACTTAAAATTATCCAAGTAATATACTGTAATTTTTGAAGTGGAACAGTGCCACTACGAGAAAATAAAGTCAATAAATAATATGATAATTATATCAGTTGTGATACATAATGGATCCTTTCTATTTATAGTGTTGTATGGACTTTTGTCCGTTGTGGATCTGTGTTTCATAAGTATACCCTGCTGTAGGATTTATTTACCTTAATTCTTAATTATCCTTGATTGCCTCTTGCCGTAATATTTTTCATATGTAGTGAGGGTTGTCAAGCTATTTATTTATGGGTTAACTTGTTTCAATTCGTTTTCAGTGGCTCAATATAAGTGAGATTATTTTTAATTTATATTATTTTTTAATTCTAATCACCAAGAATATTTTTTTTCTCATATTGACTAATGTTATTTACTAGGTAAGATTAGTTAATATTTATTTGTCAACAACAATAATATTTTTAACTTAAATTAAACACAATTATTTTTCTTTAATATCAACATATATTAATTTTAGTCGATGCTATTTAAAATTATTTTCTACCAACATTATAATACGATATCGTTAATGAAATGAAGAAAAGTAAAAATTATTTTTAATATTTAAAAAAAAATCATAATTTTAATATATTTATAATTTAATAATTTCCATATTAAAAACTTTAACATATCACAACTCTTCCTAAAATGTTCCTTCCATGCATGATAACTTGTCACTTTTTCTTTCTTCGGAACCTTGGAATCTTTTTCAAGTGTAAATGTTCCTTCATTCTGCTTTGTCTTATGTTTTGGTCAGCGTCAAGTGTAAGCGCACTAAGCTTTTGTTCTTCGTGTTTTCTTTATCGGATGCCCTTGGTTGTCTCTGTCGGTCTGTTCTCGAACTCTTCTCGCTATATAAGATTGTCTCTCCTTAATTTTCTTATTTTTCTTTTCTCCTAGCTGGTTTATCCCTTTTTTTAAGAGCATTCTTCCTGAAATAAATGCATGAATACTGTCAAAATAATGAAAAATATGTTGAGTCTTAGTAATTAACTAGATAACCTGCCATAATTTGTATCATCGATCATTTAAAAATATAATAAAGGTTTATTGGAAGTTCATATTTTAAACATATGAAAAAAAAATAAAAAGTATATAAATAGAAAAATTCATAAATATATTATTTTAAAATTTTGATAAATATATTATTTTAAAGTTTTTTTTAATAGAAAGTGATATTTCGATGTTTTATATAATAAATTTATTTCTTCTTTCATAAGGATTTAGAACCCTAATGCAAAACATTCAAAGTTGTCCGCTCCATCATCCAGTTGCGTTGTCTTCTCTCTTCTCTTTGTCCAAGCTGCAGGAGTGCCTGCAAAAAACACTCTGACGCTCAAATCAATGACTTTGCGTAATAATCTTGTAATCAAGATTTAGTTATCAAAATTCAAAGTTCACTTCAAAAGTTACGTGTCCTCCTTGTCAGACAAATATTTATAAATTATAATGAGCTTACCGTTAGGTCTGACTCATTAATCACCAATGAATGACAATATTAATTATCACTAAGTGACAATTATTTTTATTAACTCCCCGACAATTATTACTATTGATTACCTTAACGGCTGTTTTTACGGATCGGTTCATTAACCTGGAGGTATCATCGGTCGGTCGACTCATCTGCACCTTTACTGTTCGGTCGGCTATGAGCCCATAGTAACATAAGCCTCCAAGGCCCTAGCAAAATTTTTGATATTGCGTTGGGTTTATAAAGTTATATCGATCGGCAGAGGATTTTACCTGAGTTTCAATTCATACTAGCATGCGTTCTTTATCATCCGAGCGGGTTTTGCGCTAAGAATTCCTTTGAAGTGTCCCTTAGACCAAGGCGAGAGTTCACGAAAGAGCTTGCTTCGCCGCTTGATTTAGGTCTTAGGAGTTCACTAGGAGCATGCCCTAAGACCAAGGTGAGAGTTCACGAAAGAAAACTGTCTCACCACTCGATTTAGGTCTTAGGAGTTCACTAGGAGCGTGCCCTAAGACCAAGGTGAGAGTTCACAAAAGAAAACTGTCTCACCACTCGATTTAGGTCTTAGGAGTTCACTAGGAGCGTGCCCTAAGACCAAGGCGAGAGTTCACGAAAGAAATTTGCCTTACCTGCTCAGTTTAGGTCTTAGGAGTTCACTAGGAGCGTGCCCTAAGACCAAGGTGAGAGTTCACGAAAGAAATCTACCTCACCTACTCGGTTTATGTCTTAGGAGTTCANTTTTTTTTTTTTTTTAATTTACAAGGTGGAATTGTACTCGTATTACACACGTGCTACTATACTCCTGTGTGTATCTTCACTCCTTTACCGACAATATGTTTTCAGTATGTCAGTCTTAGGATGCATGAAATACTTGATCATGCAAGTCTTCAGCCGAAGAGCCTGCTAAATCGCCGGGACGCTCAAGTCAAAAATACGTACTATGCAATAAATGCAATTTATTTTCAGTGACACTGTTGTACTTAAAATTATCCAAGTAATATACTGTAATTTTTGAAGTGGAACAGTGCCACTACGAGAAAATAAAGTCAATAAATAATATGATAATTATATCAGTTGTGATACATAATGGATCCTTTCTATTTATAGTGTTGTATGGACTTTTGTCCGTTGTGGATCTGTGTTTCATAAGTATACCCTGCTGTAGGATTTATTTACCTTAATTCTTAATTATCCTTGATTGCCTCTTGCCGTAATATTTTTCATATGTAGTGAGGGTTGTCAAGCTATTTATTTATGGGTTAACTTGTTTCAATTCGTTTTCAGTGGCTCAATATAAGTGAGATTATTTTTAATTTATATTATTTTTTAATTCTAATCACCAAGAATATTTTTTTTCTCATATTGACTAATGTTATTTACTAGGTAAGATTAGTTAATATTTATTTGTCAACAACAATAATATTTTTAACTTAAATTAAACACAATTATTTTTCTTTAATATCAACATATATTAATTTTAGTCGATGCTATTTAAAATTATTTTCTACCAACATTATAATACGATATCGTTAATGAAATGAAGAAAAGTAAAAATTATTTTTAATATTTAAAAAAAAATCATAATTTTAATATATTTATAATTTAATAATTTCCATATTAAAAACTTTAACATATCACAACTCTTCCTAAAATGTTCCTTCCATGCATGATAACTTGTCACTTTTTCTTTCTTCGGAACCTTGGAATCTTTTTCAAGTGTAAATGTTCCTTCATTCTGCTTTGTCTTATGTTTTGGTCAGCGTCAAGTGTAAGCGCACTAAGCTTTTGTTCTTCGTGTTTTCTTTATCGGATGCCCTTGGTTGTCTCTGTCGGTCTGTTCTCGAACTCTTCTCGCTATATAAGATTGTCTCTCCTTAATTTTCTTATTTTTCTTTTCTCCTAGCTGGTTTATCCCTTTTTTTAAGAGCATTCTTCCTGAAATAAATGCATGAATACTGTCAAAATAATGAAAAATATGTTGAGTCTTAGTAATTAACTAGATAACCTGCCATAATTTGTATCATCGATCATTTAAAAATATAATAAAGGTTTATTGGAAGTTCATATTTTAAACATATGAAAAAAAAATAAAAAGTATATAAATAGAAAAATTCATAAATATATTATTTTAAAATTTTGATAAATATATTATTTTAAAGTTTTTTTTAATAGAAAGTGATATTTCGATGTTTTATATAATAAATTTATTTCTTCTTTCATAAGGATTTAGAACCCTAATGCAAAACATTCAAAGTTGTCCGCTCCATCATCCAGTTGCGTTGTCTTCTCTCTTCTCTTTGTCCAAGCTGCAGGAGTGCCTGCAAAAAACACTCTGACGCTCAAATCAATGACTTTGCGTAATAATCTTGTAATCAAGATTTAGTTATCAAAATTCAAAGTTCACTTCAAAAGTTACGTGTCCTCCTTGTCAGACAAATATTTATAAATTATAATGAGCTTACCGTTAGGTCTGACTCATTAATCACCAATGAATGACAATATTAATTATCACTAAGTGACAATTATTTTTATTAACTCCCCGACAATTATTACTATTGATTACCTTAACGGCTGTTTTTACGGATCGGTTCATTAACCTGGAGGTATCATCGGTCGGTCGACTCATCTGCACCTTTACTGTTCGGTCGGCTATGAGCCCATAGTAACATAAGCCTCCAAGGCCCTAGCAAAATTTTTGATATTGCGTTGGGTTTATAAAGTTATATCGATCGGCAGAGGATTTTACCTGAGTTTCAATTCATACTAGCATGCGTTCTTTATCATCCGAGCGGGTTTTGCGCTAAGAATTCCTTTGAAGTGTCCCTTAGACCAAGGCGAGAGTTCACGAAAGAGCTTGCTTCGCCGCTTGATTTAGGTCTTAGGAGTTCACTAGGAGCATGCCCTAAGACCAAGGTGAGAGTTCACGAAAGAAAACTGTCTCACCACTCGATTTAGGTCTTAGGAGTTCACTAGGAGCGTGCCCTAAGACCAAGGTGAGAGTTCACAAAAGAAAACTGTCTCACCACTCGATTTAGGTCTTAGGAGTTCACTAGGAGCGTGCCCTAAGACCAAGGCGAGAGTTCACGAAAGAAATTTGCCTTACCTGCTCAGTTTAGGTCTTAGGAGTTCACTAGGAGCGTGCCCTAAGACCAAGGTGAGAGTTCACGAAAGAAATCTACCTCACCTACTCGGTTTATGTCTTAGGAGTTCACTAGGAGCTTGCCCTAAGACCAAGGTGAGAGCTCATGAAGAGTCTGCCTCACCGAGTTGAGAAATGTTCCTTGCCGAACGGCTGAACATCTGATGCCAAATTTGGCTAAGTACCTGTGAGGCCGAATGGCCGAGCAGTTGAGGCCGAAGGGCCGAACATCTGATGCCAAATTTGGCTAAGTACCTATGAGGCCGAATGGCCGAGCTGTTGAGGCCGGAGGACCGAACATCTGATGTCAAATTTGGCTAAGTACCTGTGAGGCCGAATGACTGAGTAGTTGAGGCCGACGGGCTAAACATCTAATGTCAAATTTGGTTAAGTACTTGTGAGGCTGAATGGCCGAGCAGTTGAGACCGAAGGGTCGAACATCTGATGCTAAATTTGGCTAAGTACATGAGAGGCCGAATGACCGAGCAGTTGAGGCCGAATGGCCGAGCAGTTAAGGTCGAAGGGCCGAACATCTGATGCCAAATTTGGCTAAGTACCTGTGAGGCCGAATGGTCGAGCAGTTGAGGCCGAATGGCCGAACATCTGATGCCAAATTTGGCTAAGTACCTGAGAGGTCGAATGGCCGAGCACTTGAGGCCGACGGGGCGAACATCTGATGCCAAATTTGGCTAAGTACCTGTGAGGCCGAATGACCGAGCAGTTGAGGCCGAAGGGCCGAACATCTGATGTCAAATTTGGCTAAGTACTTGTGAGGCCGAATGGCCGAGTAGTTGAGGCCGAAGGGTCGAACATCTGATGCCAAATTTGGCTAAGTACCTGTGAGGCCGAATGGCCGAGTAGTTGAGGCCGACGGGCTGAACATTTGATGCCAAATTTGGCTAAGTACCTGGGAGGCCGAATGACCGAGTTCACGAGGCCGAGGGGACGAGTCTGAGGTTGAGTTGACATCCTTTTGAGGCATTACTCGTTGCTCCTTGTGACTACAATGGGGATACTCATTCGGCCCCACGGTGAGCGCCAAAATGTTTCGACAGGATTTAGAACCCTAATCCAAAACATTCAAAGTTGTCCGCTCCATCATCCAGTTGCGTTGTCTTCTCTCTTCTCTTTGTCCAAGCTGTGAGGGGTGCCTACAAAAGACACTCCGACGCTTAAGTCAGTGACTTTGCATAATAATCTTGTAATCAAGATTTAGTTATCAAAATTCAAAGTTCAGTTCAAAAGTTACCTGTCCTCTTTGTCAGACAAATATTTATAAATTATAATGAGTTTACGGTTAGGTCTGATTCATTAGTCACCAATTAATGACAATATTAATTGTCAATAAATGATAGTTTTTATTATCTAATTCATTATTATCTAATTTTTTATTATAGTTTTTATTAGAATTGATAGTTACTTTCTCAAACAGTGATATAAAATAGATGAAAAAATTTAAAGTTTATAAATTTTTCTTATGAAAAATAAAATTATTTCAAAAAAACTACCATCGTGAAGATATACGCGTTTATTTAAGATATGTAAAGGAAAAAAGTGAAAACGAAAATATTATTGTTTGATTTTGAAAATAAGAAAACACATTTCAATCAAATGTAAAATTAGGATACAATTGAATTTGAATAATGCATCTAAACTAAACCAAACAGAAACAAATGCTTTATACTTTGTCTAGATTTTCTTTTAAGTATATTTTTTAAAATTAATAACACAATCTAGAATTTGATGATTCAGTTTAAATAGACAGTTTACTACATTGTTTAAGAAATAAAGTTGGTTTTATTAACTTTTTTAAAATATTCATTTGACTTCTATTTAACATTTTTCTTTAAAATTATTAACAACTCTGTAACATGGAAGTATATTATGCACTGTTTGATATTTAACAATATCGGTATACCTTGTCAACAAATATAATTAAGATATAATTTAGTTTATTTTATAAGTAACATCAAATTCATTGCAATTTGATTTGAGTGGGTTTCACAATAATTAGTTTAGATTAACATCATGCCAAATTTAACTATTAAACTAAATAATTGTTATGTTTATATTATTTAAATTTATTTGTTGTTAACTTTTTAAAACTATTTTAGTTCAAAACTAGTTTTATTTGTTTTCTTTTACTTTTTCCACTCTTCATTTACAAATCTAATTGATTATTAAGCCACATTATTTCAGTTTTATTTTTTATTAATTTTTAAAACTACTTTCAAAATTATTTTGTATCCTTTTCCATGTCTTTCAAAATTATTTCTATCAAAATTTACAATATCTTGGGATTGATTTGAGAACCATGCAATTAGGGACAAAAACTTCCCTTCAAAATACTCTTCCAATTATGTCTATAGGAACATTCTTTTGACTTTTTTTTGTCTCCTGGTCTTCTTTGGTTTTGTCTTAGAACACTAGTTTGGCCTAAAGAAAAATCTATTTTTCTAACATGGATTGAAACAATCATATTGTAACAGAGTCTGACTACAGCTATATTAATTATATTATTTCATTTCCTTAAAAGTATAATAATATTTGATGAAACAGTTATATTATCTAGAACATGGTTTGATGCATTTTCGTGCCGATTTATTGGTTTCCTATAGGTCATTGTAATTACTTCGTAGTTATAAGTTGAATTGCATCACAATCTAATCTTTTAGATATTAAGTTATCGCCTAAAATTAAAATCAATACTACTAATGGTGACATGTGCAGGGGCACTGCAAATGGGACACTGCAACGATTTCATTTACACATAACTCAGTCCATGTTTTACTAACTCCATATCCAAGCTGAAATCATCCAAACAGACTCAAAAATAAGTAAAAGCAAAATGACTGAAGAAATATATTTATTATTCTCAACACATTCATTCATATGGAACTACCAGCAGCAGCAGCAGCAGCATTTGCATGCTTGGTTATTGTCATTTGCAGCTCCTCTTTCTTGGCTCCCACAACCTTGTCCACCAGCTTGCCTTCTTTCAAGAACAGGAAGGTTGGCATAGCTTCAATCTCCCACTCTTTCGAAACAGACTGAAGAACCAAAGTGATTGCAAGATTAAATTAGGAAATTCCTCATAGTGTTTTAGGATCTAGAGTAAAAAAAACTAAACCATGTTCAGTGACATTTAGATAGTCATATTCACCTCGAGTTCATCTACATCAACCTTGAGAAAGGTGACATGGGGCAGCCTTTTAGCAATCTCAACTAGGATTGGAGCAATGAATCGGCATGGACCGCACCAAGAAGCAGTGAAATCCACCACAATCTATTAAAGAAATTTCCTTTCAGTATTTTTAATGGTTTAAAATTGCCTTACGAAAAGAAAACCATTTTAAAGAATCACAAATCAAGCCAGTAATGACACAGATCAAACATAAACCATTTTAAAGAATCACAAATCGTGCTAATCATGACACAGATCTTCAATAATCAAAGGCAGCTAAAAAGTTCACTAACAAGGGCATTTTCAAGGGATCAACATCCTCTGCAGCTACTTCTAAACAGCAACACCCCAGACTTACAAAATATTTCCTTTCTTTCTACTAGGCAGTACATGCAATTGAAACTTCCATCACAGGAACTTCAATTGATTAAATATATCAAACAGCACCTTTAAGAATACAAAATTCCCAATATCAAAGCAGATTGAGTAACTTTAGGATAGATCACCACAAAAAACAGTCTTTTCAAAGGTAGCAACAAGGTTAAAAAACAAAAAGCTAATAATAAGCAACAAAATGTAATCATAATTCTACAACCACACTCATGACGAGAATTCAACAAAGGAGGTAATACGGCAAAATCTAAAGAAAGGGATGAAAATCAATTATAAAAAGAACAGGAGGAGAGGGAACAGCTATGGAAGACACAATACAATGATCTCTTACCAACCAATAACGATTTCACAATAACAGAGCAGATACGTCCTCTTAAGGCAAAAGACAGAGGAATTTCGGTATTGAAAAACCCTAACATGCATGATGCCTGTGAAAATTAACACATAGCAAAGGGGAAAATGAAAGTAGAGAGGAAGTTAAAGAGTTGGACATTACCAGCTTGCCGGTCTCTTCTCCCTTCTTGAGATGTTCCTTCCACTCACTCACGGAGTGGACACCGGTAACTTGTCCCTCTTCCGCCATTGTTCTCTTTCTCTTCCTTCTTCTTCACAATCACCACGCTTCTTTGGATTCTTTTCTTTTTTTATGGAGGCAACAGGGAAGAAGTGCCTACATATTTATAGAAATAGATATATTTAATAAAAGATTCCGTGTTCACGCGTTTATGGCGAGTTCACATTTGAGTGGCGCAAGTCCCCATGCCAAGGGCTGTCTAGTAATTTACGTTGTGCCTCATGGCTGACGTCAGGGACAAGAGAGAGTGTAAAACGCCAACGCAAACTCTTACACCTATTTCTTTCTTCTGCACCATTTTTATTCGTATCTTTCATTCATTACTCAAATGTCGGTTATATTTTAATCTCAAAGAATTTCTATATCCAAGTAGCATGATTTTACATTTAGGTTATAATTCGATTCTTCAGAAGTCGAATTCTGACCTTTTGTTTTTTAATTTCACCAAAAAATTAGGTGAAATTTGGTTTTTGGGATCGAATTCTGAATTAGATTTTTAACTTTTTCTTTTTCAAATTAATTAAAAATACGATATTGATTTTAAAGAATAAGAAGTAAAATAAAATAAAAGTAAGGTCGTAATCGTTTGAATTTTTTGGAAAATTAAAAAATAATGTATAATTTTATGGTTAAATTATTTAGGATAATAATTATTTTGGATGTTGAGACTTAAAGAAGTAGGAATTGATAATAGGATAGTATTTTTAAATTAAAAAATATAATGTTTTGATATGTATAAAAATAATGTAGTAATATTTGTAATGTTTTGTAAAATTTTGGAAAATAAAAAAATGATAGTTTAAAATAAAGAAATATAATATTTTAATTCTTTGATTTCTTTGATATTTGTAATATTTTTTGTGTGTTGGAAATTAATCATGAGATCATTTTTTATAAAAAAATAATCCTTCTAATTTATTATTAATTTTCAAAACAAAATGTTATTACAATTTTAAAGAGATAAAAGAAAATAAAAAATTAAATAATATAAAATATTTAACCATGCACTACTTCTAATATATTTTACATTATCTTGTAATAAAATTTATTTTATTTAATTTTGTAATTTTTAAAAAAAATTCAAGAATAAAATACTAGTTCAGAATTCGGTTTTTCATAATTGATAATTTGATGAAAATGGACAAAAACAAAAATTAAAATTCGATTCTCCAAAAACCCGACCTATATACAAAACCATGTTTGAGTAATATAAGGAAAAGTAAGCTATTTAGGAAAAAATAAAAGAAATCTATGCTATGTAAAAAAAAAGAAGTTTGGATAACTGTGTTCATACAACCTACTTAACACAAATAAATAAAGTCAAATAATAATTGAGTAATAAATAAATGAATAATATAAATAAGAAAATAACAACTCATAAAAATAGTTTACCTTTAACTAAGAAGATACTGTATTAAATAATCATAAACATTTTTTCTTCCTTATTTTTGAAATATATTGTTAATTTGACGTGAGAATAACGTCATTTGTCAATATTAATGATACGTGTTAAATTAATATTAGTATTACATGTTAAATTAGTATCAATGTATCAACACTAAAATTATGTGTTAGTGTCTGTCATAATTTTTATTAATTTTATTCAATTTAGTCACAGTTTTTATTAATCTTTTTTAATTTAATTTCAATTTTTGTTAATTTTATTTAATTTGGTTTTAGAACAAAATTTTTTCATTATTTCTAAAATTATATGAAAAAATATTCATTATTTTTAATTTTTTTAATTGAAATGATACTTCTTCATTATTTTTAAAATTAAAAGAAAATTTTGATTATTTTTAAAATTAGAATGAAAATTCTTCATTGTTTTTAAAATTAGAATGAAATTTTATTATTATTTTTAAAAATAGAAGAAACATTACTCATTATTTTTAAATTAGAAGAAAAAGTTTCATTATTTTTAAAATTAGAAGGAAATTTATTTATTATTTTAAAAATTAGAAAGAAATTTCTTCTGTTATTTTAAAAATTAGAAGGAGAATTATAATGTATTTCTAAAATTATAAGAAAAATTATAATTTTTTTTTAAATTAGAATGAATTTTTTTTATTGTTTTTAAATATAGAGGAATAATTCTTCATTATTTTTAAATTTTCTTTAACCTTCTTTTTTACGTGTAGAAAAAATTAAACATAAATATAATAACTATATTCTATAATTGGTTTTAAAATAATAAAAATATTTAATAAAAATATGAATTTTAATAAAAATTAACTTTAATTTCAATTCAGAACAAAATTGAGTTTGAATTGAACCAAAATTACCAAAAATGGAAACTAAATAAAAATAAAACAGATAGAAATCAAATACAAAACTCTGACACTTGACACTAATATTGACTTGGCACGTGGTACTGATATTGTCACATGACACAATACTAACTGGATATATGGATAATTTTTCTTAATTAAGAAAAAATGTAAAAGAAAATTAAAAGATCACGAATCTTTCGCTAATAATTTAGATGGTCTCATGAAAAATGACTAAATTAAACATAAACTATAAAAATTTGAGCTCTATTAAACATTCAACAAAATTGAATCTCACTTAAAACAAAGTCTAACAAAAATGAATCTTATACGAAACAAAGTCGATAAAAATGAGTCTCATTGACAAAAATAGAAACCACAAGTTTTATTAAACCAATAAACAGCATATATTTAATTATTGTCACACATCTTACAAATCTTAAAAACTTTTTAAAAACTTGAATTCTGGATGACTTAGTCACGAATATCTGTTACTTCATATTCATGTAATAACATTGCATTTACATTTTTATATTCTTGTATTTTTACAAATTTATAACTTTTAGAAATTTACAATTTGACAACCTTGTTATTCGACATCTTCGTATTTTATACTTTCATAGTTATAAATTCATATTTTTATAATTTTAAAATTTAATTTTTTTTTATTTCATCATTTCACAATTATCTATTGTAATTTTATGGTTTTAATATTTTAGAACTTTATCATTTTATAAATTTAACCATTTTTAATTTTACAGGTGTATAATATAATCCTTTTCTAAGCATGGTGATGCACAAGGAGGTAGTGAAAAATGATAACAAGCTTCTATTATTAATTCAAAGAGTGCAGATGAAAGTATTAACATTTATACCAAAGAAATGGTGAAGTTCCTCCAAAGGTGCTTTGATGGTGGTTAGAAGTGAAACTCTATACATCAAGGAGTGAGTATGTAGTATTATTTTATTAATATTATACTTTTTATTAATAAACATAGCATAAGAAGGTGGTTATATTTAATAAAGAAGAAAAGTAAAGTATTGGAGGTGTTTAATAAGTTTAAATTGTTAGTTGTGAGTTCCTGAATGAGTTTGGTATATTTGACATGGAAGAAAAGAGAAGAATATGAGATGTTTAAAAAGTGTAAACCGTTGATCGTAAAGAAAAGTTGTTGTTCGAGATTTTAAGAACCAATGAAAAGTATAAGCCTATAGAGTTTGAAAATTTTTGTGAGAAAAATGTGGTTTAGCATTTTTTAATTAGTTGAAGACATCAAAATATCATTAATAAAAATTATAATTCAAGTATTAAATTATGTGACAATAGATAAGTAGGTTGAAGTATGATATTAGGATTCAACAACTAATATGTAAAATCCAAGTACGTTACGTGTAAATAGATGAAATCAATTAGTCATACATGATCTTGATTTTGATTTTCTTTTATTAATTAAAAGATTGATATTGATATGCCAATTCAGCATTCAATTTTGTTGACCTCATTATTTAATTTTTTTTATGAAATATTATAATTCATTAAAAGATTAGGGAGATTTTAAATTCGAATATTGGGCCAAATATCAGATTAGGCCCAATAAAACTTTTGGGGCCTGATTTCTTTTTATCTAAAATAGGCACGTGGGATATCCGGAACCACAAACAAAAAAAAAAATCTTGTGTCATTATGCTTAATCTTCATTATTATGTGTTCCACGTAATCTTATTTGAACTCACAAAATCTAACTAGCCACTGTGAAGTTCACAACAGATTTATAACAGAAAATAGTAATAATAAAATTAAGAAAAGGTCCAATAATAACCACACAACAAAAGCTTGGCTGTAACATTCACTTCTACTTCTGCGGTTTCTTATATTCTATTCTAAATTTCTCATTGGAAGAAATGGCATTCCCACAGCTTATCCCTTCTCCCACTTCTTCTTCTTTACCTCACAAACCCTCCTCAAACCCTTTAACACTCTCCCTAAACCCTAAATCCTCAAACTCTCTGCACCATCTCAATCTCGCCGTTCTCCGCCACCGCTGCCGGAAACTTAATTCCACTCTCCGCTGCTCTGCCTCTTCCTTCTCCGAGAAGCACCACACCAACTCCCCCAACTCCGATGACGTCGTTGAGCTTCCTCTCTTCCCTCTCCCTCTGGTGCTCTTCCCCGGCGCCATCCCCCCTTGCAGATCTTCGAGTTCCGCTACCGCATCATGATGCACACACTCCTCCAAACAAACCTCCGCTTCGGCGTCATCTACACGGATGCCGTCTCCGGAACCGCCGCCGTTGGCTGCGTCGGCGAAGTCATAAAGCATGAGCGCCTCGTGGATGACCGCTTTTTCCTCATCTGTAAGGGCCAGGAACGGTTCCGAGTGAACAGTGTGGTGCGCACGAAACCCTACCTGGTCGCGCAGGTGACGTGGCTGGAGGACCGGCCATCTCCCTCCACCGACCTCGATCTGGACGGGCTGGCCACCGAGGTGGAGACCTACATGAAGGACGTTATCCGGTTATCCAACCGGTTGGGAGGGAAACCGGAGAAGGAGGTTGGGGATTTGAGAAGAAACCTGTTTCCAACGACGTTCTCGTTCTTCGTTGGCAGCACCTTCGAGGGCGCGCCAAGGGAGCAACAAGCGCTGCTTGAATTGGAGGACACCGCCGCCAGATTGAAGAGGGAGAAGGAAACATTGAAGAACACTCTTAATTACCTCACTGCTGCTTCTGCTGTTAAAGATGTTTTTCCCTCTTCTTCCAATTCTTCTTGATTGGTGATTTATACTCTATACCCAATGTATTGTTGCTTGTAAGTGTAACT